AAATTTCCAGTTATACTCAAAAACGTCAAAACACCTCCAAAAATTGAAAATTCATATTTCAAAATATATATATATATATATATTTTTGCTTTTAGTGGGTCAAAATACATGGGAAAATTACAATGGGATATGGTGGGCAGAATTTGTTTCGATTTTGTAAACTAGTGTTATATTATAAGAAATAATTTTGGTTTATTTATGAATAATCACTTTATAGGCTAATTAACCGTGTAATTAAAAGCACTTTTGACCAATGTACATATTTTAAATGTCAAGAATTTCAACAAGTCAGTGACCACTCCTTTACCAGTTTCCGATTTAAATTAAGCACCTATACTTAACTACAATATATATATATATATATGTGTGTCATAGGTAGTGCTAAAATTGCATTTTTTAAATATTTTTTATTTTAACAAAGTTAACAATCTTTTAATAAAAACAAACACATGTGTTGACTTTTAACTGTTTAATCAAGCATTTGAAGGCAACTGGAAAATCTTAATCAAATACTGAACGAGAAATATTAATTAAGTTATAGTTACGTAAAATGTTGTCTCTCGCATATCAAATGTAACTGCGTAGATTTGATATACGATGTGTCACGAAAATAGCCATACCAGCCAATTTTGTTCGATTTTTCTTCTGTATACGATTTTGCAATAATTTTGAAATAAAATACTTGGTTTTATTTTTTAAATTTTAATTAAAGTAGGAGTACTTCATGGGATCGAATTTTTTCAGGAAAACGCTGAGCGTAAATATTAACAGCATCATCAAGATTTATACTAATTGAGTTAAATGACACCCTGTATATGTAGTTTTGATTATTTATTAAAGCAAATATAGACCAAAAATAAAATAAAAATAATGACATGTTATTTTACGAATATCAACATTTTAAATTTCTTATTGGTTGTGGGATGCAAATATTGATTGAAAAGCAAATTTGACGTGCTTTTCCAGGCGTTTACTTACACAAAATATAAAGTAAAGTCAACATGGAAAAGTGTACCGTCAAATTCGTATATAAACAGAATCAATATTTGCCATCTCTTCTGACTTTTGACTTCTTATCCTAAGTGAATATTGAATAATAAAAATAACATGTTTCTTATGTGTTTATATTTGCAAATCAAATATGTATATGAGGGTTTAAATAAATGTTTTCTTGGTTCAAACTTTTATACAGGGTGTACCATCCTTCTATGGGTATCTTTTTTATATTTATTGACAAATAAAATTGATTTTTATAAAAGTGACTGCTTTTTCGCTATGACAATTGGGAAATATGACTTATAATTAGTTATTTTTTACTAATTAATTTTTTTCACTTTTTGGGCCTAAAAACCCATTAGGTATACCAATAAAAATAAAAAAATATTTTTTTTTATCAAAGTGGTAATTTAAAGAAAGCTTAGTTACAACGGTAAAATCATTTCATCATAGTTAATGGGTTCACGTTTAAAGAAAATCAAAATTTATCTAATCGAAAAAATATGTGATTTATGTAAATTCGAAAAGGCATAAATTTTACTAAATCGCTTGGCGCTGGCCTGTTTAAATCTAACGGATTCTTGACTTTTGACATTCATTGTTATTTCATGTTTTACGTTAAATAAACAAAAATTAATCAATATTCACCCAGCACACGTCGATATACATACGTAGTGGTAAATAAATAAACAACAAAGCATTAAAAAAAGAAGTGTGCGCACTGCGCCTGCGTACACTTATACCTTAGTACCATACCGTTACCGAAAAAAAATACTTTTTTTTTAAATAATGTTTTGAATTGACCAATACATAAATCTTCCGCTTGTTGTCGCCGTAAATTAAAAAACAATACCAAACTAGCATATGGGATATCTACATATATGTAGGTATGTTAGTGGATACAAAAGTTGTCGGAATAGAAAAAAATATCTGCCGTAGACAACGATTTATCATTTAACTGTAAAAGAGAGAAAACTCGTTTTTAGAATATCGTTTGGTAACTGTTTTTAAATCATTAGCGCAAATGTCAAGTTGCCATTGCAATTAAAGTTTCGTTAGTGTTGGTAGTTAAAAGTTAAAAAAATTGCATGTATGATTTAGTATATGTAACAATTTTTATACTATGTATGTATACGTGTTATACACTAATGCATAATTTTTAAAAATAAATAATAGTTATTACAACTTTTTAGTTACGTAACATATTTATAACATGTTGTGTATTTATTATTATAATAACATACAGGGGGAGTCATATAACTTGAAACTTTAAAATATCTTAGTTCTCATTTTACAAAAAAATATTTAAAATAAAAATTAAATGATTACGATCGTATACAATAATTTTTCTATAAAAATATCACTTTTTTTAGTAATAATTATCTTATTAAATTAAATCTGATTTTTTAAGTATCCACGAATATAAAGAAGAAAAATCGAACAAAATTGATTTTTTTTCATTACAGCGCCTATTACAAATTTGAAAAACTGTTTTGTTAAAATCAATAACTATTGTGAAGTATTTTAAATTATACTTATAAAATACGGGTAATCTAAAATTCTAACCCACATAAAATTCGTAAGAACACTTCTACAATGCTAATGAGTACTTATAATACATATGTATGTATGTATATATTATTGATTTTTCCAACAATTGACATTATTAGTGATGCAACGGTTTCGGGTTTTACGGTTACGGTTACGGTTACGGTTAGCTATACGGTTACGAATAAATTCACGGTTATTTAAAAAAAATTTACAGAATTACGAAAAATAAAGTTTTGAAATTAATACACACGTTCAGTAAAGGTTAAATAATAATTTATGTAAAACAAAAACCGAATTTCTAATAAAACTGTAAAACAATAGGAAATGAGTTACATTTTAAACCTAAAAACAGTAAAGTAAAACCTAAGTAGGTACCTGAATAAAATATTTAAAAATATAAAAAAATTAAATGTTATAACATAATATTATAATATTCAAAATTTACGAGTCAAATTTTTATTTAAAAAACATAACATCTGCAAATTCTGCGGAATCAGCCTGTTCCTATTTGGTGTTTGCACAAGACCTGCAGTCGAAAACAACCTCTCCGAATTCACTGACAATGGTTTGTATAATACCTTAGTGCCAACACTCTTAAACGCCGAAACGTGTAACACGTTTTCCAGAATGTAAACGGATTTGACTTAGGTGGTATATTTGGTAACGTTAATTACTCTTCAATTTTTTTTTTTACATGCATTCACAAAGTAGCATGAAAAACCGTAAATACGGTTACGGTTAACGACATACGGTTACGGTTAACCGTATAATATCGAAAACCGTGAATTAACCGTAACCGTAACCGTAACCGTTGCAACACTAGACATTATACATACTCGTCCATCAAAAAATGTCGACAAACATAAAGCTGTGTTGCCAAATAACAACCCACAACAAAAAACTTATTATCAAATTTTTTAGATACGCAGCTGGATTATGTAACGAAAAATAATTACTAACATTATTCGAAAACGTGACGTAACCAACGTCAAACCGGAATGGCCGGCGTTAATAACACAACGCACAAGAATGGCTTGTGGTTTGTAAAAGGAAAAAGTATTAAAATATGTTGCGTCGAAAAAAACGTGATGGGTTCTGATAGACAGGTGTACCACTTAGAGGAACCATTTTAAATTATGGTTCGGGTGGTGCTCCGCGTCATCATGCCACGTTGCCACGTTTCCAGTCGATTGTAACGTATATGCTATACCCAAGCAGAATTTTAAGTTTAAATAACTACAAATTTACTACTAAGTCAACTGTAAAGTATTTTTATTTTACCTACATAATAACATTTTTAATCTACTAAGAGAATAACGTAATAAAAACAATATAAATATATTTTTACGTAAATTTGTGGTATACCACAAATTTACGTAAAAATAACGCTATAATTACTAACTGTTTGCTCTCTCTTTCTAAACATTGACATTCGTCATTTCTTTGTTCTTTTAATATATATTTTACAAAGTGGTACTTGCAAAGTAATAAAGGCCACCCTAGAGTAAAATTAAAAAATATAACTTAAATTCTCAAAACTAATAATATTTTGCATTAAAACTCTAACGCACATTATTTTATTGATAAAAATAGGCACGATACATCTTAAAAATTAGATGCCCTCTAAATGTTTTACGGTTTTAAGAAAAATTATTGCTTGGGTAAAAATTCAACAAAACTTAAAACCTACAACATTTTATAAAATCTTTTAAAAATCATTTAGTTTTTATCATTTTTTAATAACTATTATATTTTAGAAAAATATTTATGAAAAAATATTATATAAATGTTTATAAACTTTTAAGATGGTATCTATAGATACCATCTTAAAAGTTTTATTTTTCACTTTAATCTTATTTTTCCTTGTTTAGTCAATATTAATAGTATTTATTACCCCTAAAAACCCTAAAAAATACCTGGCGAATAGGAATTATTTACGGTTATAAAGTGGTCTTAATATCGTAAAATTATGACTTATGAGTAACATTTCCATTAAGTAAAAATTCTGACGTTAAAATTACCGTTAAATTTTACTTTAGGCGAAATACACTTATAAGTAATTTTCTTTCGTAAAAACTACGTCCCTCATACTTTAAAGGGTTATTAAAATAGGTAAAAAGAACACAAATAAAAGTTATTAACGCAACTTTAAGGTTAATTTAACAAAATATTGCCCATTTTTCATTGATAAAAAGAAGTTGGCTGGGCCTCAGTATCGACTATTATTGGCGTGACGTCATCGTGACGTGTTCAGAGCTCCCGTTCACGTTGGGTGGAAAATTTCTCGAATTTCTCATTTTATATTAGCGTTGTATTAGCGAAATTAAAACTTTTAGGTAATATGCAATTGGTACCTTTTTAGAAGATAAATTTTTATTAAATCATTCATACCAACTTAAAAATAATAAAAAAAAAATAAATAAACATAAAACCTGTTTTAAGGCACTACTTACATTAACTGTTAATAGAATTAATAAAATACTGTACTAGATAGAGCCCAGTGTTCTGAAAATAATAAAAAAATAATAAAGGATAAAATACAAAAATATAATTTCCATATGAGATGCAGTGAAAAAATAATGATACTATTTCGCAAAGCTTTGCAAGTAAAAACTAAAAAACTTTGGTTCGATTTATTATTTCCTATATCATTGATTTTAAAAAACATACAGGGTTTTACATTTATAATAAAAACGTTATTATTGTTTAATTTCAAGCCACTTGGTAAAAAACCTTTAAAAAATGAAATTATTTAAACAACGTTTTAATATTCCAAACATTCCAACATAATAACAAAAAATTAGAGGCAATGAAAAAATAGGCATGAATAACAAAATATAAAAAATTCGGGACAGTGTGCAGTAGCAAAATTAAGGTGCATAGAAAAGACAGAAGAACAGGATGACCGGTTAACCGTTAACGTTATGACCATAGCCGCCTTGCTCTTTTATCGGCAGCACACTGCAGTGTATTTGTCTGAATGTTATTGCGACATAAAGGCAAGAAAATTTATAAATTGTGGGTAAATGGGACGCGAGCCTTCACACACGTAGGTACGCATATACCGGTGCTGAATCGAATGACCAATTGATTTGTATGTACGGTGATGACTGCTATATACAGGTTGTCACCAAATAAGTTTTCATCCGTTATCACGCCGAAATAAAAAAGTTTTTTATTAAAAAAAATTATTACAATTTTTATAAGTAAAGTAGAAAAATTGGGCCGCCACTGGTTGTTCCACTTGTTATTTGTGTTTTACGTTGCAAGGAAAAAATTAAAAAACTTTTTTAGTACTCGATTTTGATTGATTATTCCTTATATCATTGATTAGGAAACTTAACGCTTAAATGCTTATATAGTTACGTTAGTGTATGTATTTTATCTAAGGGATCATGGTGAATTATTGTGTTTTTAATTGTAAATAAAATTCAAGAACTAAATCGTTGCATTTTCATGTTTTGCCAAAGGATCCAATTCGGTAAGTACATTTGTTGGTGCAGAATAAACTAATATAATTTATATTTAAGTTTGGTCATTTTTATGAAATTAGTAAAAAATAATTTTTGCACAAACATAACCTTAAAATCAACCATTTTTATATTTGAGTTCTCTAAAAAACGCCGACAACTGCATTTTAAACAACAAAATATACCTACGAATTCATGGCAACATAATATTATATATAATACATAATGTAATGGTATTTTACCGTTGAGTGGAAACTTTCTTAATCAACGCTTTTATTAATGCTAAATGCTGTTTAAATTTAGACGACTTATTTGTTTGACGATTTTTACTGAATTGAAATGTTTACACTTTTCACGTTGATCACTACTAAAACGTGTATTTATTGTATCTAATAGGTACCATTTATATTTACAGAGACTGTGTGCAATTTATTTCTTCATTCAGATTAACACTGTTTATTGGAAAACCGGTAAAAACTCAACCCAGGATTTCCTCTCGAAATACACTCAACAACACAACAAATCGAGCCACGGTTTTTTTCCGATATTTTTTTAACATTTTCCGGCTTTATTCTCAAAAACAATCGTTTGTAACATAAGCGTTTGACAGCTGATTATGACATTTCCAATAATTTTTAGTTTTTACACTATTTTCTCAGATTTATACAGTTTATTATACAAAAACTGTGGTATATAAAATTAATTTCACAAGCTTATGGTTTACTTTAAAAACGCGATGAACCTTATGCATATCACATGCAAAATTTAGCGTAAAAATGGCATATCCGCCAAAGAAAAAACCGCTTCCGCACATGTGAACACACACACGAGAATTATGTACAGTTGCGGACAAAAGTAATGCCGCAATTTTAGAATTTTGATGAGTTGTAATTTTTTAGGTGCATTACTTTTTTCTAACTGTACATTTTATATATTTTTTTTTTTCAGATAAGATTTTTTGAGATTTATTATGATTTACCTTCATGATGAATGAACTGATGAGGATGAGACTGCATTCTCACCTGAAAAAAAAAATCAAAATATTATAAAAATTTTAGTATTAAAAATAACAACAAAAAAATCAACAAGGGTGAAAATAAAAAATATTAATTTTAAAACTTTTCACACACAAAAAAAAATTTGCCCCCACTTAAAAAAAATATATTTGGACAATTTCTCATCTCTCCCAGTGAGTGCCGTAGAACGGCGTAAATCCCCAAAGTCGGCAAAGTCTGTGTCTATCGATTCGACGCCCGTCCACATCGTTACCGCCCCCCCCCTGCCCCCCTTCGATTGCCACTTCCCCCCCCACAACGCTTCCCCGTGAGGAGAACAAACGCATGTTTTGCCATAGCTTACCCTATAGGGTATCGAGCTGTATATTACGTCAACAAATAATTTGCTAAAAAAAACCTAACCCCCCATATGGGGGCCGTTTTATTTTTATTCAGGAATGCTATTTTATGGTTATTTTAACCTAAACGAATAATTATTATGATTTAAAATCTGTATAACTTTAACATAATTAAATATGTTAAATTTATTTATTTTACACAAAAAAGTGTTAATTTAACATAATATGTATAACTTTCTATTGATTTTACAGAAATAGTATGTCTTCATTTAATTATTTTAATTTGTTATTTTGGCAATATTTTTTAATTAATTTTTACATTATTAATTATTTATTTTAATAAAATATTTAAATTAATATAAGAATATTGGGTTTTGGACAAAAAATAAAACACGTAGGTATGTAATAATATTGATTTATTATACTACAACATTTTTTGTTTGTTAAATCTTCTGAAATTTTAAGATTTTAATTATTATAATTTTTGTATCAAGTAACATATATCATTTGTTATAATCACTGGGACAATTATGTAAATTTTTACATTTTTTTATTAACACTCATTATTTTACACAAATTTTATATATTTGTAAGAGATGTCGAAATTTCCTTCTTTAAACCTACCTAATCCAATTACAGTGGGCTCAACTTATTGAGAGATAAGAAGAAAAAAAAGATCAATTCAACCCGTGCAAATTAAGAGGGCCGGGTGCGACCAATAGCATCGCCGAGAATTGTGTGGGTGATGTGCAATTATTCTCCATTATATAACCAAGCAAGCCTTGCCAGCAAGCGGCGTGTTGATTGATTGAAAATTGATTTTATTGTAATTTGAATTAATGGTGAGTATATACAGGCAAAAGCGTGGTACAACGTATACCACCATCCTACCCAAGATAAAAACCATAAATCTTTATATCTATCCTACCCGTAAATTTTGCATTAAAAATATGACATTTATGTTTCATTGTTGCCAAATTTATAATTTAGCAAAAAGATTTTTCTTTTCATCATTAAATAAATTACACATAATGATATAACTTTTGCAATACTTTAATGATATTTTCAAATTTGAAGAATGCCTTGTTAGCGAAGTTATTTATTATTTTGTTTGTTTACGCAGTTTATTTACAATTATTCACGATGTTGAAGGTAAAACTTGAAAGGAATCATTCCTGCAATAAAATTCTTTTGTTCGTTTTTGTAAAAATCTTAATTGCTTTTGAAAGATGAGATCACAATTTTGCTACAGAAGCTACAGAACAGATTATCACTGAAAAAAAATGGTTTATAATTATATAGAAGAATTTCCCGATTCGATAGAAATTTTAGTCACAAAATGGGTAAGAATTGGTTACCTGTATAAAACTATGAGATTTTAAGCTTGCTTTACAAAGAGCCATACAATTTACACCAATCTAACAGTGTCAATTGGTACTTTGTGCCAAAATATTATTTGGTGTTTTGAACGTATTTATATTTTAAGTAATTGCCAAAGATTAGTTTTATATTTTGTAGCGTAAAACTTACAATGTACTGTATTTTCGTATTTATATAAAGTAATTGCCAAATATTGTAGTTTAATTTTTTGTAACGTAAAACTTACAATGAACAGTATTTTTATATAAATATAAATTTTGTTTGTTTTATATAAACATTATTTAAACACCCCAGCAGCGCTACCCAAAAGTAATTCATATAATTAAAAATAAATGAATTTATAAAAAATTAATAAGAGCAGAATCATTATACATTTTTTTTCAAGCGTACAATAATTTTTATATTATAACACTTTAAGTCTATATAAAAAGACTTCATCATAGAAAGCTTAAAATTGCCTCGCACACAATCTACTGCCTCAGCTGACGCCTCGGCAGTGAAATGTATGCTCAGCGATAATAAGTGATTTCTCCGCTTGGTCTTTAATGTACTAACATTATATTATATATTATACCATTTTTATCGACATTAAATTAATTTTTTATGTATGTAACTTTAAGGGCGCACTGCAGACACCAATCTTACACAATATTGGTGCACAATTTTTAAATCTATTAGTGTTAGGATAAACACTGGATAGATTAAATTTCCAGCACCATTAGAAATAGCATTCTCACTAAAAGTGAAATAAATGCAAATAAATTAGTGTCAAAGTGAACACTTCTAGAGAGCTAAGTAATTTTCAATCAAATAGTGTATGAAGTCGCACGAACTGTGTTAAATGTGTTACACTACAAGAGTACAACCTCTAGAGTTAAAATAACACTAAAATTCACACTAAATTTAAGGTGAAAATTTGAACTCTAATAAAGTGGACCTGCTCAAGCTATAACTAGTGTTCTCTAGTGAAGCCTAGTGTGAAGCTTTTTCTTTACTGTGTAGTATTTTTTTTAAACTCATAATTCAACAGTTTTTTATTTGCTATAGCATATATGACATACTGTTAGTACGAGAACAAAGACAATGTCGTAAAGGTATTTAATAACATTTGATTATTATTCCGCCTGGCATCTTGCTTGACAAAACTTTTTGATAGCATTATTTCTAAATTGTTGACTAATACTTTCTTAACGGCATTTTAAACGTTCGAAACTTTACATTGAATTTCCACCGTTTTTTAATTTTCTTGTTTCTTGTCTTCACTTCGTTAGTGGGTTGTCCTTTAAGGAAAAACAGGGGCT